CACGCGAAGCCAAGGCCATCACTACATCCCTGAGGACAGTGGGTGACTTTCCGTAGTCCAAAGGCTTAGGGGCAGGTGGAAGGAGGGTGAGTGGAGCCGACTCCAAGATGAACCTAGGTGATGTAGGGGTCTAACGGAGCAGAAGCAAAGCTCTCCTAGAGCCTTCTGATGTCCCATTGGGTCTGGCGCTCTGACTCCCTGGCTCTGTGTGTACAGTGGTGGCCTCTGCTGGCCACCTTCTCCCCCTGGCGGCTAGCTCCTCCAGTCACTACTGCAAGCCTGTGAGCCTCCTTACCCTCCCAGCCTGAACTCTCTCAGTCCTATGGCTTCTCCTCTGCCGGTCACACTCTAACTGCCTGAAGCTGCCTTCCACCCAGGAACGGGTTCCGCCCCTCCCATGTGTCCTTTCCGATTCTCTCCTCCCCGTTCCCTCCTCTCCACACCGTCCTCTCTTCCTCCCTGGCATACTTCCTCTCCTAGCTGCCCCCACTTACATGTCAGGATTGGAATATTTAGGGAGTCCAGCCTGGCACGCTACACAGTTTGGTATTTTGGCATTTGGTGCCCATTTGAGGGGCAGGAGAGGGTTCTGTTTCAGGAGCACGTGTAGCCACTTAGCTAATAGGATAGTTTCCCAACAAAAGCAGCTGTAATGGATAACAAACCTTCCCCAAACCTCTGGATCGCATGCCTCTTGAGCCCCAATCCTCCACGGATAAGAGAGAAGGGAGCAGAATTCAACATAGCTCTGGGGTGTTGGTTAGGGTGGCTAAGATTCTGCCCAGGGGCTTCAGTTCCCACCCCAGTGCAGATCCCAAGAAAGAGATGCCCAGGACTCACCCATCTCTGAACTGCTTCTAGAAGTGGGCACACACCCCTCTCCAGCTTGGGACTGTCCGGCCAGGAGAGACAAGCTCATGAGGTTCGCCTCCCTCCTCCCTTTGCCCTCCTCCTTCCAATGAGCTCATCCGTCTGGGGCTCCCCATCCCCCTTTGCCTGAGAGGGTGTTTGGACAGAACCTGGCAGAAAGTGAGGAAAGAAGGGATGGAGGGAGTGTCTGCTTACCTGCCTATGCCCTGAGCCTCTAGGAAGTGGAGGCAGAGAGAAGAAAGAGAGAACTCTCCTCAAGAGGGGAGACTGAGAGTTTAGCTTTCTACCAACTCACTGATGCCCGGGGAGCCCTGAACTGAGGTGGCTGAGCAGCATCTTTTGCTGGACCGATCAGCCACGTGCCTGCAGGCTGGTTTGGTGCATGCTGTCTTGTTAACTCTCTCAGCACCTGCCAAACTTCTGTGCGTGCTGAGGGAGTGGCTGAATGAGGCAGCCACTGAGCCAAGGGAGTGGGTGACTGGGGAGGGGCTGAACGTATACTCAGATACTCTAGAAAGAAGCCCCAGAACATTGGTCCAGACAGCATCAGCCAAAGCCCCCACCCATCCAAGAGGCAGAAGAACTTGCGGGCTTTTAACTTTAATGCAGAGTCTGATGCTTGTAGTTGGGCTGAGATGGGGGCCCTGTTTACAAGTTGAGAGGAACTGAGGATAAGCACGATGTAGAGGCAGCTCTTGGTAGGGATCCAGCGCCTGAAGGGAGCCAGAAGGTGAGGGTGTAGGGCGAGCTTCTGCAGAACCCTCAGTCAGTGGTACTGAGCTCACAATGCCTGCAGTTACCTGCAGTGTCCTGAGAAGAGTGTGCAAAGGCCTCTGGGGGAGGAGGCAGGAGAGGCAGTAGGCAGTGGAAAAGGGCAATGGGGAGCCCAAGGGAGAGGAAGTGACCTGCCAGACTTCTGCAGTTTAGGAAGACTGCCTCTTGAAACAGTTCTGGAGACCTCATCCTGTGCCTGATTTCCTTTCCTCTCACACAGAGTCCTGGCCCATTTGCTGGGAACCGATGGGAAGGAAGTCTGCTATCCACTGGTCAGAGTCACCTGTAGAAGGTGATCCTGTTGAACAAGTAAGCATCTTCTGGTGTCAGAACCACTCTGAGGTCTCCATTTCTATGGTCCTGCCCCCACTTCAGTGAGTTCTCTAGATGCCCCCCTGTTCCAGAAATAGCCCCCTCCTCCCTAACTCTATTCTAGCCCCTCAAGAGGCTTAGGAAAATGGGTTTTCTGCTGAGTCAGTTGTCTGATCTGATAGGATTTGGGGGTGCTAAGCTACCTGAATTCCCAAGAAAGGATCTCCTTCCACTTAAGCCTGGGCTATCTCTGCCAGCTGTTTGTCTCTGGCCCAACCCATCTCAACGCCCCTGCAAACGTCAAGGGATTTCTGAGCCAAGCCACCCAGACCAGGGTGTGTCACCCATTCCCAAGAATCAGGATGGCTAGGGGCACCAATGGGGCTGTGGCATCAGACCCCCAGCTTCCTGAAAGGAGCTGTGCATTTCATTTGCTCTCCCATGACTGGAGGCTTCTGATAGAAAGGAGTGGCTATGGTTGGCCTCCTTAAGAGTTTTTCAAGGGTGGGGAGAAGGAATGGACCTTCCACCCCCTGTCCCTTGGCCTCCTCAGGAGGAACCTCTTAGCTCTGTTGCTGCACTGGCTTTCGGCAGTGTCTGGAGGGAGATGCTCTATGAATGTGAAACCCTCTCAGGCCACTACAGCTTAGTGTTTCTCAAATCCTTGTTCTGCTCCTCCAGGGGGCCCTGCTACTGTTCAGAGAACTGTCAGGTGTGTGAAGTGTAGAAACCAAATAGCAGAGAGGCACCAGTCCTGGACTGAAGATGATTTTGTAGGTGGCCTTGACTCATTCATACTCTTTCTCTGGCCCACATCTTTATACGTGGCAGTGGGCAATAAGGGCCCTCTCAGCTAAAGAACCCAGGGAACAGCAAGAGATGTGGGGGGGAGGGCACTCAGGGGAACTAGTCACCTTCCTCTGCCACCAGGGTCTAAAGATATCTCTGGAGTCCCACTCCCCCCCCCCCCCCGGCCACCACCGTCCAGGCAGGGGTCACTTTCTTTCCCTTTGGCTTTACCTCCTCTCATCTCAGCCTACCGCTCTGAGAAACATGACCCTGCTGTAAAAATAACATGGGCAGTGTGGAACCTGGCCTTGTCTGCAGAGTGGAAGGCCCTCCTGGGGTAAGCAAAGGTCAAGCCTCTCCTGGACGTGGCTTTGCCCTTGAGGCCCCAGGCTGCTGTGAACTTGTTGTGTTCTGCAAACTTGATGTGTTTGTTGTGTGTTCATCCTGTGTGCCTAGATCTCTGCTAAGCATGCTACCATGTGTCTGTCTCTCCAGGTCTTCACATCCAGTCCCTCTTCTAATGTTGGCAAGGCCTGTGGCAAGATACAAGAGCAAAAGGCACATGGGTCTAAATGTAGGTTATAAACCAGGATAATCAGTTAGGCATGGCGACTCACACCTTTAATCCCAGCACTCAGGAGGCAGAGGCAGGTAGTTCTCTGAGTTGGGAGCCCAGCCTAGTCTATGTTGCTGGTCTATAGGGCTACACAGAGAAATCCTGTCTCAAAATAAACAAATAAGTAAAAACAAAACATGTACAAAAAAATCAAACCCCAAACAAGAAACAAAACAACAGAAACAACAACAAAAAATCAGGACAGTAAGTTTATTTCCTATCCTCTGCCTTTGACTGTTTTTCCTTGATGATGTAGAAGGTCCGGCCCAAAACGGGAATTTTCAGACCTTTCCCTAGTTGTCTTGCTCCGGTGACTGCTCCTTCATCAACGGGGACTCTAGTGCATACACAGGAACCATCTGCCTGCTCATCAAGCTTGCCTTAGGCCACCTCTCAGGTCTGTGGACACACTCCTCATTTCAGAGGGCAGACTGGAGAGGAGCCCAATTCAGATACCCTGAAGAGGAAATTCCAGACCCCTGGACACCCCCAAACTGTTCAGAACTGAGAGGAGGTGTGTTTTCTGTTATGGTCCCCTGGAGTCACGGACCAGCATGAGGTCCTCTAAAACTAGGAGCCTAGGGCTGTCCTCCCTGTTATCCTGGGTTGAGGATGATGCTGTTTTTCATGACCTCAGGAGGTAAATATGAGGTCGCCATCCGGCAGAGGAGCGGAGATGTCTCCAGAAAGTTGTGAGCCTTGTTCCAAGTTCTCCAGCAGCAAATGCAGGAATCAGAGTTGATCAACTAACTACCTTGACAACGACAACGACGAGGCTAAAGAAGAAAACATCAGGGTTCTCCCCGCAGACATTTAACATTCTGCACACAACCTCAAGGGTCTCTTATGGCGCTGAAGCAAGCCTACCAGGACTCCAGTTTTGAAGATGGGTGGCGGGTGTGGTGCTATGCCTACAGAAGAGAAGAAGGATGTGTTTCCAAGGTTTAACTGATCTCCAGGTAGTGAAGAAGATTTATCCTGGAGGTTTGAGTAGTTGACTGGGGATCTTCAGGGGCATCCCTGGTGGTTACGATTACACTCCCCTCCTCCGCCTGCTCAGCACTGGGGGAAAGCACACTCTCTCCAAATGTCTGTTTCTAGCCCGCTAACATGCATAGAGTCTGCAGAAATGGGTGTGCAGGGGCATTTTCAGGTGAAACTCGGTTTCCCACAGCCTAAAAGCCACCCACAGAGCGAATGAGCGGCGTGGCGGGAGGCGACGCGTGCGGGTCCAGGTCTGCACCCTGTAGTCCCGCAGCTGGCAAGCCGGCACACGCCCACCGGCTGCGGCAGCGCCCACTGCGGACGTCCTCCCCGCGATCCCGGGAGAGGCAGCCGCTGCCCTTACTCGTGTTCTCTGAACGGAACAAAACAGCCTTCCAACAAACCTAAAAGCTCCACCTCTACTCCCCCGTGAACTCTTCTCCTAATTGGCAGCTCGGCGCATGGGATGATGCGGGCGGCTGCGGGCCGGCCCTGCAGTGCCAAACCGCAACATTCCTATCCGACTGGAGAGGGAGAGGGCTGCCCAGGCTGGACCCCACGATCTTGATCCGTCACCGTGAGAAACCGGCGGGGACGCCGCCCCTCCTGCGGCTGGAGCGCTTCCAGAGCAGAGGCGCATCGCAGTGCCGCTCGCCCCGGCGTCCTCCCTCCAGCTCCGGCTCCTCCTCCTCCCCTCCAGCCCCGGCGCCCGCAGCGGGCTCCAAGAGGCGGGCGGGTGCGCCTCCCCCTCTTCGTCCTCCCCCTCGTCTCGCTCTCTCGCGGCTAACTTTCCCGAGCCCCGACCCGCTGCGCGGAGCACCCCGGCCAGTTTGCCGGACCCAGAGCCGACCTCGGGCGGAGAGTGCGGGGGTGCCCAGTATCTCATCTCAAGCCCTCGGAGCGCTCCGAAGAGAACAGGACCATGTTCTGGGATGGGGACCGAGGCATAACCCTGGCGAGATGGCTGGGCACTGGGCTTTTGGGTAAGACAGCTCCAGCTTTGTCTTTTCTCTTGCCTCTTTCTTAACCCCACCCCACCCCGAAGGAGGGGACACTGGAGAAGAGGGGTGCCTTAGACAAGGTGGCACCAAATGAGTGGATGACCGTCTTCCTGCTGGGCGCTTGGCTTTGATACTACGTTCCCTGGGAACCCTGTGCACCCCCCTCCCCCACAGTCATCCTAGCAGAGTTTCCTGCTAGGTGCCTTTTGGAGCCGGGTCTTGGGGCTGCTGCAGGGAAATCCTTCTAAGTTCCGGAGTTCAGGCATGCTGGCGAAGGGGTCTACTGCCTGGAGTATGGGGGTTTCAGGGGGTTTGCCACTCTCGCCTGGAGCTGTTGGCTTGCTTTCCTGGCAGCAGGGATGCACCACTGGGGGACAAGGGTCTTGCATCTTCTGTCTTCTCCGGCGCCACTGTAACTCTGTGTTAAATGCTGGAAGGGCTTGGAAGGAACTAGAGGACCCTTCAAAAGCCACCTTTTCAGAAGGGCCTCGTCCCTCTTCCTGTAAAGAAATTCTATGAGGAAGACCTGTTTGGCCTGCTCCTGGGTCTTTGTTTTGGGGAAGCCTGTGCAGAGAGAGGAGTCAGGTCCAGAGGATGCAGAGGGTATAGACTATTATGGCTGTCTATTAATATTCACATGATGGTTTTGAGTGTCAAACTCCAAGAGATTAGGCAATGGTATTTATTAGTTCAGAATGTAAATCACAGCCTGGCTTCCAATGTGAGCCGGCTCCATCTCTGGGACCTGCGCCTCTTCTTGTTTATAAATGTCAGATTTGGGCTTGGACAGCTAGCCCCCACCCCCCTTGGGTCAGGTGCATGGTGGAGGTATTTGTGGTGAAAGCACATGGTGAAAGCCATGTGCAGACCTGTCTTAGGTGTTAGGGGTGGTGGTGGGGCAGCATTCTTTTGTTCCTGAGCTCCGGTTTACTCACCTCCCTAAGGCCAGATGTAAGACATTGGTGCTTTGTCCCATAGCCATTAGCACAGATGTGATATGGGTTTCACGGTGACTCCTTAAAGTTCAGGACTCCTCTTCGTGGGATGGGTATAGTGTCATTCCATGGGAGTTCTCACTTGGATCATCCTAGGACTCCCCTGTGGCCATGGCAGGGGTGAGAGGCCACTGTGGCACCAAAACTCCAGTCATGAACCCAGCCACTGTATGTTATGGGTTTCCTTACCCCGTGGCTGGTTGGCCAATGAAGTGCCAGGCCTTGCACTACTAGAATATTCGTAGAACCAGACTTCTGTAGACAACCAAGAGGGCTCTAGGAACTGGGGCTGGGGTGTGGTGAGCAGAGAGCAGGGCAGAGTTTTGGTATGAGCAGGCAGGGACTTTGAAAACCACAGCATGGAGCTTTTCAAAAAGTGAGGGAGGTGTGGTCCAGAGAGGGATGGTAACATGCCCAAGGGTACACAACCAGTTGATGGTCAAGTGGGACAGAGTCCAGGCCATCTGGTAAGGGGGAAGGTCAGTGGGGCTTGTGTAGGACTTGGGAAGGAGTGAAGCCCTGGGTCCTGGCATGGAAGCTATGGGCTTGATCAGTGCTTAGACCTTTGTTGGCACAGCTGGGGAGACTGTTCAGGAGTCCTCCCCAATCTCTCCCATATTAACTCAGTATCATGGACTGAGCCCCCAGTGGTTTTTGATAACACAAGCTAGCCTTTTCTAACTCAAGTATTAGCTCTCAAGGCCTCATCGCTGCCACTGGGTTTCTATGGGTTCCAGTCTTTTCCTAAGTATGTAGCTGGTGGTGTGTTGTTCTGCCCACCCCTTCCTTGCTCCGTGATTTGCTTAATTGCCATGATCTGTGTTTAATTATCACTGTGAGGGCTCTGTGTTGCACAACCCTCTCTCCCCTGGTATGTATTTATTAAGGGCTTGTTTAATGAGTGCACAATTAAAGAGAGGGTGTTGAGTCCCATTCAGAGGGAGAAACCAGAAAGGCTAAACTGGGCGATCCTGGGGAAGAGGAGAAGAGGGGCAGGGGCGGTCTGCATCCGGAAAAAAATGATTAACCCTTGGAATCGACAGAAGGCGGGCTTTGGGGAGCAGGCAATGCTGGGTCCCTAAACCCTGTGGCTGGCTACCTCCAGGAGGAATCGCCTTTGCCCTGTGGCTGTTCGCTGGGGGGTGGGGTGTAGGCACATCCTCATAAGCCCTCGATGTGGTGGACTCACACCACTGCCCAGTGGCCTCTGAGGAAAAGAACAGACTACTGTTTGGGCGGACTTGTTTGTGAGATCATTTCCCTGATCCAGTGCTGTCTCAGGGGCATGCCTCTATCCTGGCAAAGCTCCTGGGGGTGGGCAGGAAGCAGGCAGGTAGGTTGCCTAGGGTGAGGGAGCAGAAATCTTTCCTCTGCCATAGGGCCCAGGAGCCTTGCAGGGCTCAGCCCTGTTTCCCCAGGCCCCAGAGGCCTCTTTCCCAGGAGGGGTCCTTGTCTCGCTGCCCTCCACCGACCCACTTTCTTCCTTTAAGCTCTAACTCTGAGCCATTCTCCTTCCCTGGGGCCAGAGAGTCTCCGCGGAGCTTCCGCTCGCCGCCGTGCCCCGCAAGTCCTTGGAGCTAAACTTAGAGCAGGCACTATCCTGCCCTCCTTTTGCCCCCTACCCTACCTGGGTGTGACTGATCTCTGGGTATGGGCAAAGCTTATGTTTCCGGCCTGGCATTGACCTTACAGTGGGTGGCAATAGCCGTCAGGTTCCTGCTGGTGTGAATATTCAATAGGATAGCCATGTGTATGTACATGTGTGTGCAGGTATGTGTGTGTGTGTGTGTGTCATCGATCAGGTGACACAGGTTCTGTCATTTGACCTGGAGCTTCTGTATGAATAGCAAGGCTGTCTGGCCAGTGAGACCAAGACATGCTTCCGTCTCTGTCCTCTTGGCTCTGGGATTACAAACCCATACCACCATACCCATTTTTTTTTCTTTGACAAGATTTCAGGTAATTGAACTCATGTTTGCTAGTAAGCACTTTTCTTACTAAGTCATGCCCACAGCCCTAAATACTTGTCAAAAACTTTGGTACAACTTGTGAATTCTGAGTCTGTCTGCCTCCCTGGATGAAGTCCCATTGGGGTGGCAGGAGCTAGGGTCCTCTGAAGATGGCTCCTGAGAGGGGCTAAATGACTTAGGAAAAGCCAGGCTGTGAGAATCCACAGGACTCTGACAGAGGAGACTTCATTGGTCCCACAGTACCAGAAGGGCCAGAAAGAGGCCCAACTGGCAGACATAACCACACACCTGTGCTGGTATTCCAAAGAGGGAACTTTTGGGCAAAGCAAGAAAGTCCTTTACTTAGGGAAATAGCCACATGGAAATTATCCAAGATGTGGTAGAGGGTAAAGAAATAAATCAATGTATGAGTAGCCTGGAGACAGTCTTGGTTGATGGTAGTGGTCTTAAAAAACAAACAAACAAACAAAAACTAGTGACGTCCTGGTTATATCCAGTGCTGGTATGGAGACAGCCCTGTCCCCCTCGCCCCTTTTAAACAATGTCTTCTACCTGGGATGCTCTCTTCCTGAAATCCTTGTGTTTTACAGTCTCATATTTTGGCTTCCCACCAAGCTTGGGAGGTAGACAGGTTTATAGCCCTCCCTGCACTGCTCTGGGGTTGCGCCTGCAGGATGCAGGATGTGTGGCATCTCTGACTTTGTCAAGGTCAGCAGGCAGACTGGGCCTGCTTGAGGACTGCTGACCAGTCCATTCTAGCTTTGGCCAACCTGCTTAAGGAGCCCTCCAGGGGCCTGTTAGTGAATCCTGACCCATGCTCCTCCCCCAAGCTCAGTATCACGGGAGTTCGTGCACCGACTTCCTAGACACAGCTGGCAGGACTTCCTCGCCCCTGGCTGGGTGGGCAGTGTATTGCAGAAGTAGCCAGGTTTCCACGCCAGCAGGGATGCCTCTGTGGAAGCCATCTCTACCGGTTTCTTTTATCCGCTCTAGCCTGGTGAGGATGTGACAGTGCTTCACTCAGAGTCCTGAGTGTATTGGATACAGTTAAGTCATCCGCGTCAGGCAGAAATGCGTACTATGCGGTGAGCCAGAACTTAAATAGTGTTCTTCCTTCTGAACTTTTCATTTGTTCTGTTCTGCTTCTGTTTATTTACAGCATTTTCTTAAACCAGGCATGGGGGCACTTGCTTGTAATCACAGCATCTCAGGAGGCAGAGGTGGATGAGAAGTTCAAGGTCATTCTTGGTTGCAGAACAAGTTCTAGTCTGGCCTATTTAAGACGCTTTCTCTACAGCAAACAAATGATCATGTCCCTTTGATGTGTTCCTATGCTCTGCAATTTTTCATTTGAACTGGAGTTAGAAGGAGGAATTTGGTCCTTGAGATGAGTCTCTTGTCATCATCAGGACCTGATTCCTGGGCTCAGGTGTTAGCTCGGAACCAGAATCTAGGAATTTCCAGCGAGCTTGCTTCCTCCCTGCTTGCCTCCCTTCGTTTTTCACAATTCCTTCCCACCCTCCATTCCTTTTATCTTTCTGAGACAGAGTCTTCAGCTTCAGCAGAAGCTGGTCACAGAACCGCAGTGACCCTCCTGCCTCTGCTGAGCGCTGGGAGTGAGTCCGGGTGTGAGCCATCACCTCCAGTTTAGGAAGCTTCTTTTTTCTTTATAAATGTAAGGACATGTTTATGTTTTCATGTGTGACTGCGGGCATTCAGTAGTGCATACACGGAGGTCAGAGGACACTCTTGATCCTCGCCTTCCACCTCATTTGAGACAGGATCTCTCTGTTGTTTTCTGACCACATACACCAGGCTAGCAGGCTCACAACCTTCCGGAACTCCTCCTGTTCCTGTCACCAATCTCCCTGTGCTAACACTGGAATTACTGATGCTTTATACTACACACCGGCTTGTACCTGGGTTCTGGGGATTTGAACTCAGGTCCTCATGCTTATGTGGCAATCACTGTTACTCACTGAGCCATCTCCCCAGCTGAGAAGCTGCCTTTCTTCAGCGCTTCCTTGTCTTCTGCTCTACATCCTGGTTCTGGGTTTAGGGGACTCTGGGAGGCCCTGAAAGCAGAGCTCCAGGCTCCCATCCTCTTGTGCTGGTTCTAGGCTAGACAGTGGACAAATATGGCTGCTCCTGTTCCTAGACCTCGGGAGAGAGTTGGGGTAGAGGACAGCAGAGATAAAACAAGAACCAGCCCCCCTCGGGAGCACTGAGCCCCATCAGAATGGCTCTTTCAGATGGGAGAAAGCAGATCTGTTTCTGAGCTGCCTACTTACTTTCTGGTTATGTGGCTTTTTATAGGTTTATTTCTTTGAGGCGTTTATTGGGAATAAGAGGTATAACAACTTCCCAGGACAAGAATGAAATGTGCACCCATCCTGTCACACAGTAGGTTCCAAGCACCAAAGAGGACCTTCAGTGTGTGGTTGCTGGGAAAATTACTTTACCTCTCTGAGCCTCAGTTTTATCATTTGTAAAATGAGAACAAGTGTACCTGCCATTTAGATCCTATTAGAAGTGGGGGTGACTGTGTGGGAGCCCTCTAGCACAGTCATTTTCATTTTGTGGTCTGCACCCACACTGTTCCCTGGGAGCTACAGAGAGAGGCCAGCTCCGAAGACTCAGATAGTCAGTAGCTCCAGGGGCCGACCCACAGCTGCCTATGCCTGTCCCCAGTTGATACTAATGCCTCTCAGCATGGAAAGCCATTGCAATAGTTCTCGATGCATTATATATGTGTGTGCACGCACACAGACAGAAAGACAGACAGATAGACAGACAGACAGACAGACAGACAGACAGACAGACACACACACACACACACACACACACAGAGTTACTGATCGAAGTCATCTAGCAAGAGTTGGAGCCGCAGTGGGCAAATGTACCTATTTTAGGATGTGTGGAGGGGTTTTCCTGGCTTTTGGGAGCATGAGATGCTGGAACCATTCTCCTCCTTGACCTTAATGGAATCGCCAACTTCTCTAGGCTTAGCTTCCTCTCTGGTGTGATCTATAATCCTAGACATGACAGGGTAGTGGAAGGCTGAAAGGCGCCAGGCACACCGTAAATGCTTCATGAATATCTGCTCTGTTGTCATCACTGGCCATGGCAGGAGTCAGGATTGGGTTACTGGGGCCATAGGGTGCAATTTCTGACTCGGTGTGTGTGTGTGTGTGTGTGTGTGTGTGTGTGTGTGTGTGTGTTGGGGGGCACAGCCAGAAGCAAAGGGGAAACAAGGAAGGTGAAGGGACCCTTGAGAGCTGGAGCAGGGCCACCAGCACTCCTCTGAGCTTCACTGTTATTTAATAGCGTGGTCATTATTGTGGACAAAGCAAGAGGAAACTGACTTAGGATGTAGCATGAGGGAATTAAGTTAGAAAACAGAGGGCTTTCCTGAGAATTAAGACAGGAATGAGGGCTCATTTCTCCTAGGGGCAAGGAAAGGTGAGGGTTCAGTTGCGATCTTCTACCCTGAACCGACCTTGAGGGAGTAGTGTTTCCTGGAGGAATGTGCCAGAAGAAGGATTAGATTCTTTAAGAGCCCTCCTAGGAGGGCAACTGTCTTCTGGGGCAGAAGGACGTCCTGCTGTGGGGGTGTGGGGGGCGGAGGTGGGGCCGGCGGGGGGGGGGGGGGGGCAGAGGGATGTCCTGCGGTGGGAAGAGTGGGGGTGCCGCAGAGGAATTTCCTGCGATGGGGATGTGGGGGACAGAGGGTTGTAGTGCGGAGGATGTATGGGGAACAGAGAGATGTCCTGTGGAGCGTGTGTGTGCGCGCGCGTGCGTGCGTGCGTGTGTCTGTGTTGGGGGGTGGCAGAGTGTGGAGGGTGTGTGCGAGTTAGGGGAATGTCCTGTGGAGGGTGTTGGGACACCGCGGGGTTGTCATTGTGGTTCTTAGGGTGAGGGTGCGGAGAGTGGCTGCCGGGTGATGGGGAGGACCCGCGCTTCACGGGATCAGGAGGGGTCTGTGCCCCTGCTGCATGCCCTCAATAGGTTCGAATGACCTCTGCAGAGTTGCGCTCTGCCTGCTCCATCCTGCGTCCTGGCGCTAGCAGTCTGTGTCCACCCGCGGCCACATTTCCGTCATAGCAGGCCGGTCGTCGCCCTTCTCTCTTCGGGATCCCCTTGCGTGGTCGGAGGCGCTGGACTCACTAGCCAAGCAATCTCCATCGCTAAAGTGTCTCTCTGCTCGTAGTTCCAGTGAGGGGACTGCGGCGGTCACGCCTTTCCACCTGACGACGTTCTGACCCTCACCCGCAACTCCCAAACGCCACCAGGGGTGCGCTCCGATCTAGAGAAGGTTTCCCGTCGTCCCACCCCCCACCCCCCACCCCCCCACCTTGTAGGTGATGGGAGTTCCAGAGCTGTCCTTACTAGCCTCCGTGCCCATGCGAAGGGGTGGAGTCACAGGTTCCAGTACAAGGGGAAAAAAAAAATCCACCAGATCCTCCTTTTCTTGGGTTGGGGTGACCCCTCGTGGTCATTCTGAGTACCACAAGGCCACCAAGAAAGATTCAGAATTCAGTGCTAATCAAGCCAAGAGGATATTGAAATGAATGGCCCAGGCCGGGTAGATATTCTATAGAGAACCACCTTCCCTTCTGAGGATGCCAAAGACCTCTTTACCTGGCAAAGCCATTCTACCCTGCCTGAGAGTGCCCTTAAAGAACTTCCCGTGAGGTTGTGTTAAGGGAGGCCGTGTCCCTTGTACAGGTCTCTTCCTGCTCCCTGTGTCCTGGTCATTGGAGGTGTCTGTGGGAAAGGCCACCACCATCTACGCTATCAATGGCTCAGCGATCCTGCTGCCTTGCACCTTCTCCAGCTGTTTTGGCTTCGAGAATCTCTACTTCAGGTGGTCCTACAATGGCACCGATACCTACAAGATCGTAAGTGGCGTACTCATGTCCTCCCCTGCCTGTTTGTCACGGGCGGATGCCTTCAAGCCCAGGCTCCAGTCCCTTCTGCGATAAACTCCGCCATGACGATCCCAAGAACCCACAATTTGTTACTCTTTCTCTCAGAGTCCAGGCAGGAGGACTGTTCCCATGGTGATGCAAGAATTTGGGGTTTGTTGGTAATTTTGGCTAGACTTTGTTGTCCTGTCCTGAGGAAAACCTGCCACTTGTATATTTGCAGAGGAAATAAAAGTTTAGCAATCAGGAGAAAGAAACAGTGGGCTGAGGGCAGTGTTTGGAAGGGCAGGAAAGGGAGCCAGAGAGGGTGAGCCAATCACAGATGTGGATGGAGTTCTTTGCAGCCTGGCAGGGGTTGTTCTCCCAGAGTAAATGGGGAAGCCCCAAGAGTGCAGCCTTAGAGGGTGCTGATGGAGAGAACTGTGGCATCAATCCAGGTCCTGATTGAAAGAGAAGATTCAGTGAGGTAGAGGGTACAGTGTAAGTGAAGGCTGGGTGGGATGTGCAGAGAGAAGTGAGTGTGTGTGTGTGCATGTGTGTGCGTGTGTGTGTGTGAGTGCGTGTGTGCATGTGTGTGCGTGTGTGTGTGTGAGTGCATGTGTATGAGTGTGTGTGTGTGCATGCATGTGTGTGCGTGTATGAGAGTATGTGTGAGTGCATGTGTGTGAGTGTGTATGTGAGTGTGCATGCATGTGTGTGCGCGTGTGTGAGAGTATGTGTGAGTGCATGTGTATGAGTGTGTATGTGAATGTGCATGCATGTGTGTGCGTGTGTGAGAGTATGTTTGAGTGCATGTGTGTGAGTGTGCATGCATGTGTGTGAGAGTGTGTGTGAGTGTATGTCTGTGAGTGTGTGTGTGCTTGCACGCGTGTGCACACGCTACTTGCAGAGGCACTGTGGGGGAAAAAGACTTTTATGAAAACAGCAGCCGGTGTGCTGTTTTCCAGGAAGTCCTTGAGGACACGGGTTTAGTTTGAAACAGGCAGAATTCAGGTCAGGCAGAGCTATAGCCACTGGCAGAGAGAACGGAGGAAAATGAAGGGTCTTTCTGGGCATGGACAGGGTTGGCGCTCAAGGGAGGCTGCTGTGACTTTTGACAACTCAGATCTTTTCCCGTCCCAGCTCATAGACGGCATTGTGAAGAACGAGAAGTCTGACCCCAAGGTGAGGACGAAGGATGATGACCGCATCACCCTGGAGGGCTCCACTAAGGAGAAGATGAACAACATCTCCATCCTGCTGAGTGACCTGGAGTTCAGCGACACCGGCAAATACACCTGCTTCGTGAGGAACCCCAAAGAGAAGGACCTGAACAACTCGGCCACCATCTTCCTCCAAGTGGTTGACAAGTGTATGTAATGGGGCGCAGGTGGGGGTGGCAGGGTAGGAAGGACCTGGGGTGCCCATCTCAGGGTAGCATTGAAATGGCAAAGTAGACCATGCTGGTGATTTCTTTCTCTTTACACTTGCAAGAGTGAGTTACATATGGAAGCTAAAAAAAAGTCGGCTATGGGAATAGCACTGAGTATCTTTGAACCTTGATTTCTAGTCCATAGAATGGACACATGGCTGCTTTCTGCCAGAGTGACTGTGAAGGCCAGGGGAGCTAGCTGCGAGTGTTTGGTGGCATTAGACTCTCTGCATGTAGGTGGTCTTTGCTCCTTTGTGCACAGCATTAGCGAGTACTGGATGGCTGTCAGGTGTTGTCGTAAAAGATGTTGTGACTGGTACACAGAATCATTCTTTGTGGAGTGTGTCGTTCAGAGTAAGACAAGCAGATAGATAGCCCCAAGCAGACAGCAGTGGTACAGATGCTTCCCAAAGAGATAGAATGAGTTGTAGTCCTTCCCCTACGGAATTGGATACAGGTAGGTCAATTAAGCAGTGAAGGTATTGAAGACAAGAGCCAGGTAGTCACATGCCTCTACTCCATGGAGGTGGTCAGAGAAGCAAAAGGGGATAAATAGGTGAGAAGTTAGGTAGGGCACCTTGCAGCCGAGGATGCCAGAAGATAATGCCTTCTGCATGACCCCATCCCAAAGCCCAATCAAGAAACCCTGGAGATGGGACAGCAGGAATTGAACTTGGATTCTTCCAAGGGCAGAGCCCAAGGTCATCGAGGCAATCTTTCCTGAGTCTGGGTTACATCTGCAAATAGTGTCACTTCTTCTATAGGTTTAGATTCCTGTTGCTCTGCTCTGTGCTTGGCCTTTGCAGGAGGAGAAGGGAAGGGGCCCGGCACTGATAGAGTGTTTGTGGGTGCCAGGCTCTGAGTTAGAGTTCTTGTTTTAGCTCTGTGGCTCTTGTCTCTGTATAGAGTTTTTCAGCCATTCTTTTACATGGTGGAGGTGATTCAGAGTGTTGCGGGTCCAGTGTGAGCAGGATGAGAGCTTTGCTCCCCGGACTCCTACCGAAGGGAATAATGCAATTAAACCAAGAGTGGGTGCTGTGTAGATAAGATAAAATCACAGGGGAAGCCGCAGGGGTTCACAGGGTGGCTAGGGAGGCTCTGCTGGGAAAGGTGACAGAGCGGGGATGTCTAAAGACAGCGGAGAGGAAGCAGAGATAGCTGAGAAATAAGTTTGTGACTTATAACTGGGATCTGTGAGTCTCATTCTGACTTAACCCCTAACTTGTGTGTGTGTGTGTGTGTGTGTGTGTGTGTGTGTGTGTGTGTGTGT